CCACCTATTAGCTGAATTCCTAATGTCAATGTTTGCCAATTTTCCACATGGTTAATTTGCTGCATTGTAAATTTTCTGTGGGTAGTTTTGCCATTCAGCCATATTTTATGTTAAATAAATACAGGTATCCCTTGCTTAATGTGGGATTTGATTAACATGCAAAATTAATTGTGGCAATCCCTTTTTATATGCAGCAGAAATTTTAATTAATATGGCTTTAACAGCTGTCTTTACTTAACATAGATATGTTTTCCTCGACAAATAAGGTATTGGCAAATTTGCTATTAACTGAAAATTTTTTATAGTGGGTGGCAACTGTTTGGTTGAGTACCGAGGTACCTCCCTATTTGGTTAACACGATTTTGATTTACACGGTAGAATCAAAGGATTAAGGGGAATTCCCGCCAATCAAGGGATACCTGTACACAGTTTATAAACTGCATACATATTTACTTACAAAATCACAAAAAAACAATAAAGCTGGAAAGCAGGTACAGTTTATCACAGAATTTAAATCTGCTTTTCCGTTTGCATTTTAACTGATCAAAGAAAAAAAATTCAGCATAATAGCATCAATGCTCCTCATACATCTGTTACTATGTCAAATTTCATTTCTAATTTTTACCCCATCCTGAGATATTAAATGAAATAGACATCAACACGCACATCCACAAAAGTTTTTTGCATTTTTTGGATTCAGGAGGTTCAAAACTTTGAGATTTACAAAAAAAATCTCTGTGGGTCAAATTTGACACAATTCCAATACTTCCCATTGTTATGCATACATAACAGCCAGGAAAGTAAAAGTTGTAACTTTCTTCATCTAAATAAGGCTTTCACTTACAAGAATTGTCAAATACATTCTAACTAACTGAGACTTGGGTTTTATACTTTTTAAAAAATAATGCAAATGACTTTTCCCCCCAGATTAGACCTTTAAGCCAACAATTTTCAGTAGCCACTTGAGGGCACTTGACAGCAAAATTATTGGTGGTGGCAAGATTGCAATGGCAAAATGACATAGAAGCAGTAGTAGTAGATGTTTGCATTCATTTCTTAAGGTAACATTTTACTGCTGTCGGGGCACTAAAGAGCTACCAAACAAAACATGTTTGAGTTATTTCCTCCAATCCCTTCTATTAGCTCATGTGCCTAGAAATGATGGATGTACTTTAAACTGAAACTTCACAAATCAATATTTATTTTATTAAAACAAATAAAATTAAATATTGTAATAATTGGTTCCTTAACTGTTTATCTATCAAAATCTAAATTTTTGTAGTGTGTACATTAAATTTTCGTAGGTGAAGCACAGAGATTCATAATATTTTGTTCATATGTTTCTAAAGGCAATTTGTTTCTTTGTATCAATTCAACAATTCTCGTTTAATTATTGTACCAGTGATGTAGAGATGTTTACTTCAGAAATTCAACCAACAATTTTAACAAAAAAATTAAGAAGAGAAACTTTACCTAGTCCAGACAAGTCAAGAATTGCTTTGATGAGTAGACCTATGATTCAGTATGGTATATTGTTTGGCAATAGATGGCACAACACTTTACGCAAGTAAAACAAGGTCAAGAAAAATTAATAATAAAACAATGAAATATAGGTATTACAAGAACAAAAAGTTAGAGGATTTGTAAAATAATTTAAAATATTTACAAAATAAGTTCTAAAATTAGAAAAATTTGATTTAAAACATCCATTTTTGCCTTATTTCTCCACATTTTTACTGCAATGGAGCAAATAATTGAAAAAGTAAAATCATAGCTTTAGTCACAAGTATTTGAAATTATTTAATTTAAATACTTTTAACTGTAAAGGGTCTTTACAGAGGACAACTTTGTTTATAATTTACATCATACAATATTGAACTAAAGAGAAAATTTGAAATACACACAAATACTTTTAATAATTTAACAAGCAATTATTTTATTGTGACATTGTCACAATACCGGACTGTAATTTTTAATTAATTCAATTTAAAATATATGCTCTCCAACTCAAATTAGTAGTGGTTTGCCCCTGTATAACATACTTTTCCGTTAAAGGAAAACTATGTTATACAGGATAATAGTCATGCCATTCTTCTGTGATATTCTGCTCGCCTCCCCTTTTTTTTTGTATTGTTTAAATTGTGTCCTTCTCCTCCTAACCCTAGAAATTCCACAGAAAAAAGGGATAGTTTACAATCAACTATCAAAACTCTTTCCTTGGGTTAAATGTCACAGTCTATACCAATAAATTAGATTGATGATAAAATCAAGGCAAGAACAGATGTTTAAAAGAAACTAATAAACTCTCTCCTCTCATCTACCTGCATGTGGCACGTGTCTGCGGACACCTGCAAGATAACCAAAACAACACGATAATAATTGCCTCTCTCGTCGACTAATGCAATATTTAACATAAACAATCTAGAAATTATTGTCAAATCTGAGAAGATATTATCAAAATATATAAATAATTAATGGGAGAGAACTGTCAAATTCGTAGGAATTTATATCATAAAATTTCACCTTCAGTTGACCAATGTCAACAATCCGACCGAAGAATACATTGGCAACGTTCCGTACCAGCTGGATCTAGATCGGATACAGCTGACAGGTGTTCTTATAAATCATCAACTATTTGACAGTTCTCACTCCTCAAAAATAGTATAAAGAGGGCTTGGACGCAGTCCACAGGGCGGACATCAGCAGGGGACATTGACTGCGGCATCAACTGACCCATACAGCCACCCTATCTGTCGCCACCTCCCATAACTGCCGTGCTGATCCAGGAATGTTTTTACCAATGACCCATATTACGGATCGGGAACTTAGAGGCATTTTTAAGAAATCTATTTGTATACTCTCTCTCTCGTCTCTTAGTTTAACTTAGAGAATAGAACTTAGATGTTCCGTAAGAAAGACGAATCATTGTCGCAATGTAGAATAGAATTTTTGTAGCTATTCACTTTTGCCTTTGACATGTATTATTTTATAGTTGTTTATTAAATGTGTTATTCTTGTTCAATCAGTGTATTTATTTGGAAACCTGTCAACTTACTCATTGACCTCCCCACACATTTCATTTCGTTCTCCTATAAAGCCATCTTCTGACGGAGCTGCTGGTAAGTGGGGACAACTAACCCCCTCGGTTCTCACACTTCTATTAACAACTTTCGGGGAAAATGTTTGAATTAAAATAATGTGACTTTTGGTTTGCATCCGAAGTTAATTGGGGCCTCCTGCACCTAAGCTTTCCACATCTGTTCTCATTTCTCGAGATTAAGGAAAGATGGACGGACAGACGACAATGGGAATTTATAAGTCACATGAAATATCCAATAATGTTAACAAAAATATAATTTTGAATAGGATTGTAGAAATAGTCAAACACTTATCAGAAAATGAGAATGAATTGTATATAATGATACACTGTTTGACTGTAAACTATGTTTAATTGAACAAACAAATACAAAGAACAGTCGACCAGCACAAGCCTTCTGTGCTAGTTTTTAACATGGCAGAACTTGGTACAAAAAAAGGCGTGGAATGATGTGATGCACCCTGGCAGTTGAGAACAACAGTACAAATTTCATATTTCTTAACACGAATCATGACTTGTGGATGTCACTGAAATTAGTTCAGACTCTGATTCTAGCGAGAGGTGTTCATTGCTTACCTAACCAACTTCTCACGCTGACACGAGAACAAAGTACACAATAGAAAAGTCAAATTTAACAATGAAAGAAAAATTGGACTTATTCATTATACATAAAACACTGAACACTGAAGACACTGAAAACAGTAATATAAGTAACTTTAAAAGTGTAAAAGATATAGTTAAGAAAGAAATGAATTATTTTGTAGAGCAAAAAATACAAGGAACATATCTTAATTAAAAAGGTTTTCAATGCTCTAATGAGAGTACGTCCAACTAGTATCAATTCCGAGAAAGCTTTTTCTAACGAGGCTGCCATTTGTACGAAAATTAGATCTAGATTAGACGATGAGAGCCTATATGTATTATGTTTTTTAAGAGCCTACTTTCAAAATAAAGAAAAAAATAATTAATAATCAGCATTATTTCAATGTTTATTATGTCAAATTAATTGCTATTATAAGAATGTTGTTTGTCTAAACTGATAGAAAACTTGAAAAATCACTAGTAATCAGTAGCATGGGATTGTATGTCAAGGTGGGAGAGCAAGAAGAGCAATGCCCCCCTAGCTTCTGATAATGTATCATGCCACAATTTTAAGATATTCATAAAGAAACTAAATGATAATTTGAAAAATAACTTATTTTAGAATATAATCTAAAACAAATTTAATGTATTGTTTTAAGAAGTGGGTGAAGTGAGCAGGGGACTTCATCCCCTGCTCACTTCACCCACTTCTTAAAATATTTTGTGATGGTTTATTGATTCCCTGTGCTGCTGTTTTTATCTTTTCTTTTATGACAGCATAAAATCATCATGACACATTCTTCCAAATATTTTACATATATAGAAAAAAGTCCACTTTATCATAAGGTTATTCTTAAAATTTTGAATATTTATTAATAAATTATTTTATAATAAATTTTTTAAATTAATTAAAATTTACATCTCTCGTTTGCTAGAATAAAATTTGCATAACTGACAGAATCTGCTATTTTGTCTACATCGTGCACACACAACACAATCTTTCTGCTTGAGTTTTCTAGCACAGCTGATCATGTGTCAGAAGAGCATCTTCAGTTTCATACATGAGTGGGAGTCTTAGACAGATCCTTAGTTAACTGCTTGCAAACTGAAAGTATTCACTGTCTGTATATTCTGTGTTATTGGTTTGAGATTTGTCATATTGGTGATTCTAAGCAGACAAAGTCCTAACACCTATACTTGTTATAGTGTGCTAATACAAATTTGAGAGCATAAAAGATAAGAAATAAGAAATTTAAATCTATACAAAATGAGTTAAATTTTAAGATCAAATGTTGGTAGAATTGAAAATTTTTTCACTTACTTTGATCTCTAATAAGCCTTTTTTGTGATCAAATTCTATTTTTCCAGAATAATTGCGTTGAGACAATGCCGTGATGAAGAGATACCTTACTCTGAGAGACAGCTGTTGACGGAAATTACTATAAGCCTGTTTACGTTCTACCATTACGCTGCTGAGTTTCTAAGCAATGAGAAATATTATATTAACAAATATTGAATCTACTTCCCATTTTACTGGACCGATAACTTACCTCGGTGAAGTTTTCTATTAGTTGTATATCAGATTTTATCTGTTCGTATTTCATTTTGGTTTCGGAATATCTCTCGTTCACTTCCTCTCTACTTCCTCGTCTAAAAGTTATTTTGAAAATCGTTAAAAAGTTAAGTGCATTTATTTATTTACATTTATATTATTATTCTTATTAATGCATTACATATTTTAAGGAACAAGTCAAATTCAAATTTTAAAAATATTTTCATATGTATATTTATATTTTCACTTCTTTAATTCTGCATAATACATGATACAAATCATCACCAAAGAATCTAATAAATGATGCCATTTTTTTTCTGACAATTTGCTTTTACACTTTGAGAAAATGCTATTAACTCAATGATATTTAGAGTTTCTTTTTTAAAAAAATGTCAAAATTTAAGGTTTCTGTAACATTAAATTCATGTCTTTTTTGTTTAAAACTAATATAGGGAAAAACATTACCCCTAAAATAAATATCATAAACTCATATGAACTGTACAGGTTGTCTTGGAACAAAATTCAGAGATCATCAGTTTGATAACTGTTTAATATAATTACCAGACTGTTGTTTACTACTGAACACAAGACTGTGTTATTATTAAAACACTTGGCGTTTATCCACTTTATTCAACTGAATAAAGTGGATAAACACCAAGTGTTTTAATAATAACAGTCTTGTGTTCAATAGTAAATAAATATGAAAACAAAATTTCAAAAAACGAATCAACTACAAATTTAGTTATAGAAACAGCGACTTCCATCTATAGAAAGAAAATAATGTATACAGTTCAACAAATGGATACTACATACAGCGCAAGGATACAAGGTGAGATAAAGAAAATCTTAATAGATATAAACTACCTCAAGATACATTTAAAGGAAAATAGACCACTAAAGACACTCTCTCTCCCTAAATCCATCACAAAAGTCATCCCTACAAGAGACAGAAATTACTTCAATCTTAAGATTCTAAGGTCAGCTATAAAATATAAATATATTAAACTTAGACATTTAAAACGTAATCTTAGGAAAATAAAGAATAATAAAATAGAATATCACCTAAATGAAGTGGATGAAAAAGAGCAAATTAAAAATCTAAGTAATTATGAAGCCAATAAGTTTAAGAAATTAGTTAAAAAATTCCAATATCCGTCCAAGGATGAAATTAACGAATGGAAAGAATCCCTAGTGCAAAATAAAACTCAAATCAAAATTCCCAGTGATATTCTTGAAACAATACGCAAAGGCCTAGATTTTAGTGGCCCCAATAAATGGGAAGTTCTCACAATAATACCAGGATTAGACCGAGTATGTAACACCCTACAAGATATGGAATCACAATTATTGAAAACGAGTCTCAGCAATAAGATAAAGAAATATGTAACAAAAGAAAAAGGGAAAACTGTAATAAAAGATAACAATTATTACAGATATAAAAATGAAATTAAAAAACTACATAACTTTTTGGAGGATAATAAACTAGATATAATAAAAGCCGATAAATCAAAACAGCTCATCATAGTAAATACAGAATAGGTAAAAACTAAAAAATATGAGTTAATAGAAAGCGGAAAATTTAGGCAACTCCCTATAGACCCTAAGGAAATTATATATAAAGAGCTAAAGAGCAGGATTACAAGATTACAAAAGTTAAACAAACTGACTAAAACTGAAAAAGAATTTATTTTAAATGACAACAATGATCACACTCAACTGAATAAAGTGGATAAACGCCAAGTGTTTTAATAATAACACAGTCTTGTGTTCAATAGTAAATAAATACGAAAACACGGTTTCAAAAAACGAATCAACCAGACTGTTGTATTAAACAATTTATTATGTAATTTGTCATGAATTATACAGAATTGAAAATCTGAACAAAGTAAGATATTGGCAGATCAATTTACAAATAAAACCAGAAATTACTGTAAAAAGCAATTCCAGATGGATCTAATAAAAGAATATTCACTTTGGTTTGAAGTATTTCCATTTAGTAAGTTTTCATTAATAATAATAAATACAGTCAAACTTTCATATTACGAAGTTCTCTGTATAACAAATTTTTGCATCATATACTGCTCATTCAGCCAAAAATATACAGGGTTTGTATTTTTTATCTTGAGACAACAAAATAACTTAATTGGATCCCATTATTTTGGGAAAAAGGTATAGACAAAAGTTGTAGGGTGTCAAGGGGCCAATCAATTGGTGACCTCAGATGTGACCTTGACCTTCAAGGTCATTTGGAAGTCAAGTCTGGTTTTTTCAATGGGAACACACATTTTTGACCCTGGCAATGGACATTTCACAACCGGACATTTCACAACCGGATGTACGTTTAACCTTATTGTCTAGGTCAAAGGTCAAGATTATTTTAAGTTTAAAATTATAAGCTTTTTCTAATGGTAAACCATACCTTTTATTACTGGAATAGTCAGGGAAGTAAAAGTTACATTTTTTCATGACCTTATTACTTTGAACTTTAAAAGCATTCACTACTTTTAGCACTACCAAGGAGTAACAATGTGGCTTTAGTAGTTTTCTGCTCCCTTTGAGGGGCTTATTTTCAGAGAGTCTCCTTGCCTCTCACTATCGTGGTGTTTGTTTTCGGTGAGTCACTTTACTTCTTACCATTGTTTGAGACGTTTGTTTTGGGGGAAATTTTATAACAAATGTTCAAAATAATGCCCTTCCACTTTAATGCATTTATTCAGCCACATTTATAATTATCACGCTTGAGATGACCTTCAGAGGTCAAATTTGGGGTACTCAAGATCATTGCTTATTGTGAAATTTCCCATTGTTTCCATATAAATGTAACTTTTACCTCCCTGCCTATTCCACTAATGAAAAGTATGGTTTTTCACATTAGAAAAAGCTTATAATTTTAACCTTAAAATAATCTTGACCTTTGACCTAGAAAATAAGGTCAAAGGTACATCCGGTTGTGAAATTTCCTGCTCTTTCCACTTTCGGTGTCAAAAATGTGTGTTCCCATTGAAAAAACAGACTTGACCTCCAAATGACCTTGAAGGTCGAGGTCAAGGTCACATCTGAGGTCACCAATTGATTGGCCCCTCAACACCTTACAACTTTTGTCCATACCTTTTTCCAAAATAATGAGATCCAATTAAGTTATTTCATTGTCTCAAGATAAAAAATACACCCTGTGTGTAAAACTGCTTCTAAATAAAAAGGTTAAATTTCTATACAGTGAATATTTGTGAATTTGTAAGGATCATTGATCATTAAAAGTCAATTAATCCATCTGGGTCAAGTTTGAATTTAGGTCCAATTTCAGGTATCAATCTGTAAACTCTTTGGAAAACCATGGCCCATTTGTGAGAAATAGTGGTCTTTACTCATGTAATCTGACCCTCACATGGCTACTGGTTGTAAAGAAGGCAGAGAGAGATTAGGTCCAAACACAGTCGTCAACACATGAACGCTTTACAATTATGTGAGGTTGCTGACTGGGGTGTCTTTTTCAGGACAGTCATGCAGTCTCAACTATCACATGGGAGTGGAAAAGACTCTCCAAGGCAGATTTTCCATGTTTTGAACGTTTAATAAATTATAAAAGATTTTCTCACAAAAGAGCTAATTCTCCATTGTTACAAGTCTTGCAGGGAGAAACCAAATAAAGTCCGAAAGTTCCTTAGGCTGTTTTTACTCGGTCCCTTGTTGATGATTTCGAGATCTTCAGCCCTGGGGTGCACTGTTCAGCTTCGAACAGATGGTCCTGGTAGCAGGGATGATTCTTGAAGCTGGAGAACAATTCCAGAGGAGCAAATGTTACTCCAAAGGAGATAAAAATCCAACATCTGATGTTTATGGAAACACCAAGTTGTGAGAACTACAGGAAAATGTGCTAGAACCTACATTTACGTCAATGAAGATATAGTTTTAATGCTTTTAATAAGCATGAAGCATATATTTTTAATATTAATTAATACTTTTAATTCAAGGAATATGTTTTGATTCTAAACTTGTCTACGTTGGAGCCACGACGCGCAACTTACGCCAATGACTCAAAGAGCACAAATATTTGATTGATAAAAATAACGACAATACCATACTATCAGCTTATGCAAGACAACAAGACATTCAAGTCCAATGGGATCAAGCAACAATAATCAATCCAACAACAAATGTAAACACGATGAAATATCTTGAACGGTTAGTGTGAGATTCAGCCTGGGGTACAGGGTAGGTTGTTATGCCTGTATCACTTAATAGGCAGCTAGTTGGTGAAACTAGTCTCATACATCCACAAGAATGGCTTTCCTATTTAATAGGAAATCGAGTGGTGGAGGGTCTTACAGTAAAAATTTAAGCGGAAGTTGGCGATGGCGAATTCACCTTCTTCCTTATGTCAGGGTCCCGACACCAGTTTATCTACTTGCGTAACGCGGATAAACACGCGTGAAATTTATGCCGTAGATCTGATTCAGAGATTTGACACGAGACATCTCTTAACAAAATATATATATAGTTTAATAAACAAAATAAACAATTACAAATACAGAATAAGAAATAATCTAATAATCCCAACAGTCAATCAAAGAACTAATGATCAAGTCAATCACGACAGGAGGAAAATCTATTCTTAGTCTATACCAAGTCGAGAGAGAAATGTATTNAATCATAAGAAATTGATTACAATTACAAATACAGAATAAGAAATAATCTAATAATCCCAACAGTCAATCAAAGAACGAATGATCAAGTCAATCACGACAGGAGGAAAATCTATTCTTAGTCTATACCAAGTCGAGAGAGAAATGTATTCTCAAACTATACATTTACGAGAGAGAGAGCTCACAATTTAGTCTTAAACATATGACCTGTTTACTTGGCAGTGTCGCCTTCTTATTCGTGAAAGTACTTCATTGATAACTTAGGAGTAACTTGTTAGGGGATGACAAGGCGTTGGTCTTCTGGTATATCTGTGTGGAGTCCTTTCACTCTCCGATCTACGGATGAACTCCTAAGGGCATTGGCCTTAGAGAACAATTGAATGGAGTCTGGTCACTCTCAGATCTGACGACGAACTCCTAAGGGCGGTGTGGAGGCAATATGGGAGACGTCTCTCCTCTATGAGATTTTCTGACTAACTCCCTGAATTCGGCTAAACTTCGCCGATATCTTCCCATTTATGACCAATCATCGTATTCCGATTTTCCCACGTGGACAGATGGGAAGGGGGAGAAATGAGGGGTAAACAGTTCTCATTGAAGCGAGATTTTTAGCAGATAAGGGAAAAACAGAGGATGCTCATACTTCCGTCAAAGGAAGTGACTCTCCTAGCTGTTTTCCCACAAAAAAAAAAAATGTTATTTTTCTCACCCAAAACGAAAGATTATTTTATGACAAAAAGTTAATATTATTTTTAAATTATTTTAGACCCGGGGCCTATTCGGATCTCACATTAGAGATCCTTAAGGCACATAGGAGAACCGGTTGTATCAACCATAGAGATGTAGGCACATTGGTTACCGCGTGGTAGTCTTTTTACAAAGATTAATGTTAATTAAGATACACTGTTTGTTTAATTTTATTTTTATTTTATTACATGACATTTTCATCTTATTTATATCATTTCTGCATTTATTTATTATATTATCCACATCAACATGTTCGTTTATTTATGTATTTCTTTCAAAACTCATTTCATATTTATGTTCTATGTTAGTGTTCTATTTTGAGTTAACTGAAGCAGATCGGTTAAAATGATCAAAAATGTTTTTAATTTAGTAAATTTTATTTGTTGGATTGTTAAAGGTGTGTTTTTTATAATATTTAGTTATCCAGTACATACATTTTATAACCAAACAGTATAATCAAATGTTTTAAATACAGTTCATTGTGTGTTTGCATTCCTTACTTATGTGAGAATCTGGAGACTGAGTATAATTTTATTACAAAAATCAATTTTATCAGACTAAATAACCCCACACCCATAAATCAGAAACAAAAAAATCTTATTTTCTTAAAGTATAAAACTAAATTAATAAATTAGGTGAAATTAAATTAATTTTTCCTGTTAAAAAAGTGACACTTTTTGTCACTTGCGAGGAAAGAGAAAATAAAACTTCCTTTAACCAGATATTATCACAAATTTTAATGAACATCTGGCCGTTTGATTCATCTGTACATCCTGTCAGATGATACAAATTCCAAAATCCAATTGGAGGGGATTTACGTATAAAAAGGGCCTTTTTTCACCATTACAGGTTGGTCTACTCAAACCCTTTGCCATCTTCTTCCAGGCCATTCCTCTACCTCCAATCCTTATGGGCCATTCTACTCCAACCATCTCCCAAATCTCTGACAACCTTGTCTCATCAAAACTGTCATCTGTTCAACAAAAAAAATCACCATTCATAAGTAGAGGTAGTATGTCTATAAATATGTAAAGTCTCTCTCTCTCACATGTTAATTAGGGACACTAGGTGTTACTTGTATTTGACCAATTATTTGTGGTCTTATTTTCATAATTTTCATTAAATTTTGTTTTTAGTTTGTTTAAATGGTCTCGTTTTTGATTCTAAAATATATGCCGTTGTCTTATCAGGAGTCTATGAGTCCTCCCCCTTGGATAAACTTTAAGGACTTCATACCATGGGTCTAATGTGCAATTTAGGCTTGTGTCAGGAGAATTTAGGAAAAATCGTAAGAACTTCCTATCAACTACGAAATTATTTTATGATCCCATCCACTGACGAAGTGGGCGGATCTTGCAGTTCTGAGGCCGAACACAAGTAAGAGTATCCTCTCTTAAACCCAGATTCTCACACTTACTTTTCTCTGTTTAACACACAGCTGATAAATATTAACTTTCTCCTCTTTACGCTCAATTAGAAATTCTCTCTTATTCTTAAGGTATCATCATCCTATCCTGACAAACAGGGAATGATGACCTTTAAGAAACTTACTTCATAAAAATAATTCCATAAATTCCTAAAGAATAGCAGATTCTGGAAGGAAAATACATAACAAAAGTTCAACCATTGTTCTGATTTTTATAAAATGGTGTACAAATAGCTATTCAAATCCAAAATGGTATGTGGAATAAAAATATTACAACAAGATATAAAATGCAAATTAGATCAATAAATTATTGATACTATTGACCAAATGAACATAAATTGAAATACAATTTTAAATCTCTTGTTTAAACTTTTTCAAATTATAACATTTAAGCAAACTTTTTCATATAATATACAGAGTACTTATAATTAAAGTTCCACTTTGAAATGGCCATAAAATGAAAACTACTGGACAAAATGTTACCAAACTTGGTAATAGTGTACAGGACGTCATGGGATTTTATTTCCCGCAAAAACGTTCAAAAACTAAACACCAATGGGAAATGGCGCTATCTGCAATATTGTTAAACAAAAAAAGACATGAAGACATCATTGAAAATGTTTTAATCGATTTTAAAACGTGTTACAGAGCATGTTCAATGTGGTGTCCACCATTTTTGATAAGCAAATTAAATCGCATTAGTGTGTTCTCAACAGTAGCTCTTAGCATATCAGGAAGAATTTAACTTGCTTTAAGAAAATGGTGGATGCCACATTAAACATGCTTTGTAACACATTTCAGAAACAATTAAAAACATTTTCAATGATGTCTTCATGTCTTTTTTTTGTTTAACAATATTGCAGACAGCACCATTTCTTGTTGGTGGTGAGTTTTTGAACTTTTTTTGCAGGAAATAAAATCCCATGACGTCCTGTACACTATTACCAAGTTTGATAACATTCTGTCTAGTAGTTTTCATTTTATGGCCATTTTAAAGTGGAACTTTAATTATAAACACCCTGTATTATCTTGTGACTGTAGGCCATCTTATTTTTGTATAATTTTAATGTTAGTTTATAATTCTACTTCTTAAAACCTATTCTTCTTTACATTCTCCTTTGTTCCATTGTTTTTGAACTTCCGAGAATTTTGACTCACCCCTTCCCCACCAAGAGGTAGGGTGTAACCAATAGGCTATGAAAGGCTGGAGGAAAAAATCTGAATTTGGGTGGACATTCTTGGCCAGACACGAGAGGAGATGGACGTATAACAGCAAGGCTTGTGAGTGTGAAATCGTCAAGCACTGTGGAAGAGAGCCTGAGAGAACAGATCAAGAACCAAATCAGATAGATAGACCTGGAGATGAACCCTCAGAAAAAAGCCAATTCATGAGAGAAGGAAACCTACAAGACTTGGAAGTTGAAACAAGGAACTACAGAGAATTATTCTCCGAGAAATTGGGTACCCCACTGTCCTATCAATTCTTCTTACTTCCCCTTCAATCTATCCATCTTACGGCATATGATTGGTGTTTAGTTATGTTATATATCGGGTTTAGAATATTTGTTTATCCATCTTACATTAGATTTTAGATTAAGACTAGCACATGATTGTTAGATAAGTACTATTGTAGGGTTAGTAGTTGTGACGGGATCCAACTACCTGAATCACTGTTATGTTGCGAACACAGAAGATAATTGGAATTGTAAAAAGAGCGGAAATCCGTAAATAACTTGTAAATATTTATTTCTATCATGAAATTAAATTTGTTTTAATTGGTTATCATGCATACATGTTTTCCTTTTGCATTGTACCTCTTACGATCTCTTTTCTTCTAACTCATAAGATAAAATGAACATCTTAATTAAATGGGATAAATTAATTTTATATATTTTTAGACTGATTAGTAGATTAAAATGATAAACATCTCTAAAAGAAAATAGTCACTAACTTTTCTTCTTCTAATCTCAGTTGTTTTTCGATTTGATTTATTTCCATTTCGATGTCATATGGCATTCTTCTTGTCTGAATTTTTGGACTAATCTTTTCTGCCTTAGAAATGTCTCCCTATAAAAAATATGCATTTAATTATTTCTAAAATTTGAAATTAAATACATTATGATTAAGTTTCAAAATGCCAAAAGTAGTTTTTAAAAATAACTAATTTATGATTTAATGACTTTTTATGATAAGATTAAAATATTTTAAGTTATAAATTAATATTGACTTCATAAACGGCTTTCGAAGCTTGATATTCTTTATCTAAATCAGCAATGACTCGTTCATGTTCTTTCAGTTTCTTTTCATAATGTTGCTTGTTTAGTTTTGCCTGTTCAACATGACTCTGTATATTTCGAAGGGAATCCTGTTTTAAATATAAATTATTTTATTTGCAGAGTTCAAATCTGGCAACCAAAAAATTCACAATACAATAAGTTAAACGATACATTATTTCTTTACCTTTAAAGGTTCAATGTTATTTAACAGATGATGAAGAGCATTATCTTTATTGTTATATTCATCATTGGCTTTTTTAACCCTGATTTCGGCTTTTCTGAATTCTTCTGTAAGAATTTCTTCTTTCTGCTTCATGTCTATTATTTGAGAATACATCATTTCCAACTCTTCTTCCTAAGAAAAATTAAACATTAAAAAATAAAAATAAATTAGCATATTCTGATATTTTTTATTATGTTGTCATCTTGGAAGTATATTTTTTATGATACTAAATGAATTCTTTTGTTAAATTTTCTTACTTTATCATGTTGCAATGTAGTTAAAAACTTATAAAAATTATTACAGAATTTTCTATATAAAGTTCCTGAATGTATGACTGATTTACAATCTACATCACCCAACAATTTCCAATGTTGATATTTAGATACTCTTTTTTTATATTTAAATGTTACCATAATTATTTTTGCTTTGAATGTCTCATTAACTGATATAAACCATAAATACAATAAATTTTTCAAATGTTAAGATAAGAACAGTCACCAACTGAAATTAATCTGGTTGTCATTTTCACTTTCAAATTGCATTTAATGTTATAATATTAAAATGAATCACACAATATATTTTTTAAACATTTAAATAATTTCCATGCAGCAATTTATAATTTTTTAAGAAAAATCTTTAATAATTATGTTAGACATTTCTGTAATATCAAAGGATAAAGATAAAACTATCACAGTGTAAATAAATCAAAATAATCTCATATATTGATCTTGAATTGGATTATTGTAAACAAATTTAAAAACAAAAAACCTATTCCAGCAATTATTTTAATTCATCAAATGTTTTTGGCCATCTTTAGGATCAAACACATTTTGAATATATTTTTTAATTTGTTGTTGAATTTTCTAATGGTAGCTGTATTACGTATTATATAGGTAAATGTCTCTTCAATCCGAACAAAATTTCGGTAGACTTTCTCACAGCTCTACGTGTTAAAAATCTCCTTTATTGTTTTTCACAGATGCATTTCGGGCAAGTTTAATTTTCCTGCCCCTCTTCAGTGCTACAAAACAAATTCATATTGAATTTACACAAAACAACTTTTGAGTAGAAAATGCTTACAAGACATAAAAAGACATTTTAGTATGTTCTTCTCTTAAAAAGCATCTTAAATAGTTTATGTCGTGCTCCAACATTTCTACATTTTTATGTTGAATTTTCTAATGGTAGCTGTATTACGTATTATAATACGTAATACAGCTACCATTAGAAAATTCAACAAGAAATTTTTGGAATAAAATGGAAACAAAAAACAGGTTAGTAACCCTTACTAAAAATGTAGAAATGTTGGAGCACGACATAAACTATTTAAGATGCTTTTTAAGAGAAGAACATACTAAAATGTCTTTTTATGTCTTGTAAGCATTTTCTACTCAAAAGTTGTTTTGTGTAAATTCAATATGAATTTGTTTTGTAGCACTGAAGAGGGGCAGGAAAATTAAACTTGCCCGAAATGCATCTGTGAAAAACAATAAAGGAGATTTTTAACCCGTAGAGCTGTGAGAAAGTCTACCGAAATTTTGTTCGGATTGAAGAGACATTTACCTATATATATTTTTTAACATTTAAATATTGTGTTCTAAACGAGAATTATTTAAATATATAAAATTGAATAAATTGAAAATACAAATAAACATACAACACTGATGAAGGTATACAGAATGAAATAAATAAAAGTAAAATATAAAATAAAGTAAATAAATGCATAAATGGAATATTTGTTTTAGTCTTTGGTATCATTGTTCACTGCATTGAGAAGGTACTTCTAAGCTGCCGATAAGCAAGCAGCATCTTTATGGTTTATGCATGAATTCTTGATACTGTGCTTATATATGTATATTTTTCAAGCATTTTACCTGCTTGCTGATCTCCTATTGTTTCTAAAAGCTTAGCTTCTTTGAAATTTGGTGTATTTTCTGGCACAGTGGCCATTATAGCTAGGGCAGTTGTGGTTTTTTCCTTTACATATGCCATATTGATGCTCTTTAAGTCTTGTAGGAAGATTTCTAGAAGTGTATCCTATGTATTTGCTTGTTTTGTTTTCAAGACCTAGATTGACCAGTATCTCATATACCTAAGGGGCCATGTCAGGATCTATTGGGTCTTTGTCATTACATAAGCAGCTGTAAATAGTTTTGTCGTGCTTATATGTGATTCTTCTGCTGCTCAATCTGATGGTTTTTCTATAGGTGTTATCATCTATAGAAAAACCTATATTATATAATTTATTATATGTTACAGGAGCGATCATGATCATGGACAGAGGGTGTTTAGGTTTCCTGCAAGATCTGGGTTGTTGTATGTGTTAATTAAATAATCAACCTTGGTATGGCTGTACCCATGCGCAGCTGCGATGCTTTTGATTCTGTTCAACTCTTTAACAGTGTCCATTATGTTTGTAGTGTAGGTATATGCTCTTTTGATAAGGGCCTTAAATGCTGCCATTTTATATTACTGGGGTATACAAGATATTGGTCAATCTAGGTCTGGAAAACAAAACAAGCAAATACATAGGATAACTTCTAGAAATCTCCCTACAAGACTTAAAGAACATCAATATGACACATGTAAAGGTAAAAACTACAACTGCCCTAGCTATAATGGCCACTGTACCAGAAAATACACCAAACTTCAATGAAGCTAAGCTTTAAAAACAATAGGGGATCAGCAAGCAGGTAAAACTCTTGAAAAATATACATACACAGCACGCCAAATAAGTAATGAGACTGATTTTTTTCCATGAATACTTTCAAGAAATGTGCCAAATGTGGTTACCATTTCACTGGCTAGATTGTGCTGAACATGCAGACGCTTTGATCATGTCGATGACTCAGCCAGTGCATGCATAGCAGCCATAAAAGTAAAGTTGTGCAAGTAGTGGCGGTCAAACATAGCATCATGGATCAAAGAGCTGTGATAAAATTTTACCATATATTAGCAAAAACAGCATCAGAAGTTTACAAAAACATGCTACTTGTTTATGGGGATGGTTGTCTTAGTTGTGCACAAGTGTTTTCAGCATTTAAGAATGGAAGAGAATCCTCAGAAGATGAACAACGCGTTGGACGTCCTGTGTCTACTCAGGCGGATGAAAATGTGGAAAAAGCCAAGGAAATTCTTGCCAGTGATAGACGAATTACCACCAGAATGCTTGCAGTGAAAATTGGTGTTGGTAAGGAAACAGCCAGATCCATTTTAGAGAAAGATTAGTTCCCAGTTTGTGCCATATTCATTGACAGAAGAGAAGAGAGAGCACTGAGCTGCATGTTGCACCAGTTTCATTCCACAGTTGACGAGGTTCCTAATCTGTTGAAACGAATTGTAACTGGAGATGAAAGTTGGTGTTTTCAGTTCGACATGGAGACAAAACGTCAGAGTATGGAATGGCATGGAACATTGTCACTGAGGCAGAAGAAACTCAGGTTGCAGAAATCATGCATCAAGACAATGGTGATTGGTTTTTTTTTGATGCTTCTGGAGTGATCCATTGTGAATTTCTCCCTGAGGGCACAACAGTGACCGGACAGTACTACTTAGGAGTCATACAAATGTCTCTTTGCTCACATGCAAAAGAACCCAACTGTTCCAAAGCAACAGTTGGGTTCTTCTGCATGACAATACACTGGGTCTCTGTGCACTACCCATGAAACAGTTTTTAGCATCAAAACAGATCTGTGTGCTCGAACACCCACCCTATTTGCCTGATTTGGCACTTGCAGACTTCTTTCTATTTCCGAAAATTAAATGTGCTTTAAAAGAGTAATGTTTCAGTGACATTGAGGATATCAAACATACTGTGACCAACAGACTGAAGGAGGTACACAATCAGGACTTCCAGCGTTCTTTCAACAACTTGTATGATCGATGTAAACATTGTGTGGAGGTGCAAGGGAATTATTTTGAATCCATGTAACTGCAAAATTGAAATAAACTTCTTAGTTTGGATGTAATGCTGGTTGTCTCATTTGTTATTTGGTGCACTGTGTATATAAGCACAGTATCAAGAATTCGTGCATAAACCATAAAATGTTTACCAAAGATTAAAAAAAGTACTTCATTTATGCATTTATTTACGTTATTTTATTTTATTTTTTACTTTTATTTTTATTTATTTATTTCATTCTGTATATCTTTGTCAGTGTTGTACATGTTTATTTGTATTTTCAATTTATTCAATTTTATATATTTAAATAATTCTCATTTCAAACACAATATTTAAATGTTATCAGGGGGGCGCTCCATTCGTCAGGGAGATTGGTGCGTTTTTGTTAACACTTCGTTTTACTGAGGAATATTTTGTCTTTTGTGTTTTTTGGAGTTTATTTCTACAATGATTAATTTAAAATTAACCCAATTACTACTACTAATGTCCGGAATTGAACCGAATCCAGGCCCTCTTCAGAAAACGCCACCCAAAAGAGGAAGACCTCCAACAAACCGAACAACGCAATCGTCATTCAACACTAAACCAGCTGAAGGTGAAATCAACTTAATTACCGAATATACTCAACAAAGAAGAGCAGAACCAACTATCCAGGTTAGTGAAAATTCTACTTTGAATCCTTCAACCGCAATTTCAAATATGGAAATATCGGACACTTCAACCTCACTTCTATGGACGAAGATAGTTGATCTGATAACGACTAGTAATGAAAAAATAGAAAGTCAATTTGCTTTAATTCACAAAGAAATTACCACCATTCATAATGAAATCAGTGACTTTACTGGACAAATTCAAACTATTAAAGATAGAAACGATATAATCGAATCGGAACTTAAAAAATTAAAAACTCAGAATGAACTTCTACAATTTAAATTTGACTCCATGCAAAACAAATTAAATAATAATAATCTAATAATATATGATTACTCAAAAATTTTCAATGATAGAAGTGAAGAAGAAATATTAAGGTTTTTAAATAATTCACTCAATATTCCATGCAAAATGAATGAAGAAATCAAATTAATCCGTAATATTCCTAATTCCAAGATTAATATTAAATGTTTAATTTTAAAATCTGATCAACTGAGAAATGAGATACTGATCACCTTTAATAAGCGTAAACAAAACAATTCATTGGGACCATGGCAAAACTTAAACATGTCAGTAGATC